AGGTTCCTTGCATGAATTCAAATGTATGCAATTTTAGTGAATATTGTACGTGCAAACTAGCTCACAGTCGTATCCAGTTCATGTGTGTTAGACATGAGCTACATACACAATTACAGATTTCTCTAAGTAAGTTATGACTATTTGACTGTGAAATGGCCATCTTAGATTCCTTCCAATAGAATTTTATTGACGGTGTTTACGATAGAATTCTGATGTTAACTAGTAAAAAGCAATCAACAATAAACTCTGAACCCAAATTTCGTGTTTGTTGTCATTGGTTAGTAAGGTAGATCCATAACCTTGAGGGATACCGACGTTGCAGTCGGACACTTAGGTAATGAGTTGTTTGGGCAGTAGTCCGCCTACTGGAGAGAAGTCAATTTCGTGCGGTCTGTTCCTAACTACCAACCGAATTTTGTTTATAATTTTACAAGGTAGTAACCAAGCAAGAAGACTCATGGCTACTGTGCAGTTTGATTGATGTCAACATCTGTTAGAGTAGGGGATATCATTTCCCTCGAAGCTGGAAATACACCTCAGTGATCAGTATCAGGAAGTAGATTATCCAGCTGTCGAGCCTCCTATCAGTCCTATTCAACCACCAACCTATTTCAATCAAGTCGCACCATCATCTTGATTCTTTAAACGTGGTCATCACATTTCAAAATGGTCGATAAAACTTGATCAGAGCATGGAACTGAATGGTATGAGGTTGATTAGCCCCCAGTAATCAATCAATATATGTTAAACTAAATTCCATCATCAACATAAATCTGTTTAACTAACTTCAATAAACTGGTATCATACAAAATGAATGAATACTTTGTTGATTATTTAGATATTATTTTTTAGCTCAGTATTCATCACGCACTGAAGTCACTGGGAGAACTGTTGGGATCCTTAGAGCATTAGACAGCTATTTCGTCCTAATGTGGGAATCCTCAGCAGTACACACTTAAGGATCGAACTCAGGACCTAAAGGCGTCGAGGAAAACCATTCAGCCAATGTGTGGGAGGGAGCTCAGTGGTCTACAGTTTTCTACTTCTGTCAGTGGCTATCCACCAAAGTCTTCCGTCAGCATCCACTTACCTTCGTGTTGGTTGACCCCATAGCTCAAGGCTTCCCATAATAACCTCGGGATATCCAACTCAAAGCATGTCACCAATGGTGTTTATAAGGATTCGATTTTTAAGGTTGTATTCATTGCGGAATTAAATCAGCTGGAGAACCGATGAAAACTTGGTAGCACTGGACAGCTGTTTTGTCTTTGTGTGAGACTCCCCGGTAGTGTGTACCCACAATATCACAAGGGATCGAACCCTGTTCCTTCAGGTTTCTGACATCAATTCGTGATGAATATCAAATTGCAATAAAAGAATCACCACAAATCTCCACTAGTGAATTGTTTTGAGATGAGATTTCCCGAAGGTCTGGTGAGAAGTCGTCACCTGAGGGGCTAAACAAGCTGAATATAATGACAGGTACTCAATGAGACCAATGAATGAAGATCGCACTATATAGAGAACTAAAAGATGTTCGAAACTGTGAACTACTAAATTCGGAACCAGTGGTTGAATGTTTAATGCATTCGCCATGAAACCTGATGCTCCTGAGTTCGATCCATAGTGTCGTCGTGGATGCATACTGCTGAGGAGTCTCACAGTGGGACGAAACAATAGTCTATTCCTCCGATATTTCTGACGGTTCTCCAACCGATATCAGTCTATACAATCTTAGAAATGAAATCCTCAATAACCTCAAAAATATATTTCCATATGAATTTTATAGCTGTGAACTTCTCATCCAGTAGTGAATTGAACTTACATTGATTTGTGATAAGAGAGATTCACTGCTGTCAGTAGTAAGATCGTTAGCCAATGCAATTTTAACATTCAGTCTGAACAAATATATTCACGGGAAATTTGAATGAGAAGTGTGAAAGACAGTTGATAATTCAATTGTTTCTTACCATAGCTGGAAATTTTCTTTTCTCCTGAAGGAAAACTATCCATATCCCGTAATTCTACAATTACCAGCAAACCGTATAACGTGACTGATAAAGAGTTGGGATTATTAGGTCAACTAGCTAAAATGAGCTACCTCATCCATCCATCTCCTTAATTATTTTATAGTTTAGGAATGATGAATAGGGACTAGCAGTGGAATCTAGGACGCGTATCCAGTCAGCTGGAAGCACGGTATGATACAGAAAAAAGCTAAAACTATACCCGTCGCACAAGAAGGGGCTATTGTGGCTCGGTGGCTTTTGTAGCGGTCGGCCCTGAGTTCCAGTCTCAATGGGGACAACATCACTCACTGGGGTTTAGGTAGATCCAGGTGAAGAGTTTGAAATAGGTCGAAACACATGTCCTGGATTCCACTGCTAGCCATCAATAATATATATACTTAAAACAAAGGCAATATTGGGGCATCCGCGCACGAACCCTTATGTCAACAAGTCATATCACACCCGTACTAAAAGTCGTTTTCATAGGGCACTGATGGCTCATTTAGGGTTCAACCAGAAACAAGATTATTCAACAACTGTTTCGTCCCTGTTTAGAAGTTTTCAGTAGTATGTATCAATAGTTCCACCCATCAAGTTTGGTGGCTGGTATAAATCGACAAAAGTTGAAAAATATAGGTCTCTGGGATCCTAAATAAGAGGTAGATAATCACTTCTTATTAAGAAAAGGTACCATCTTCAACTTGGTCCTTTATAAGGTCGTATCTTTAGGAGTGCATTAATGAGACATTATGAACCAAGAAGCAACCCCTAACTATCCATCCATCTATGGTTTCTATTGTTTCTGTATCTCTGGTCAAGGTGAGATAAAAACTACTCAAGAGTTATTTCACAGTTGAACAACCAGAATCATTTTTCTAAAAGAACTTCAGAAAAGACACTTGAATGAAGAGAGAATATTCTTTTCGATAACTTCTCCTCGAAGTCGTACAGTTATATTTTTATATTTTGTAATCGTGTATCAACAACAGGGAGATTTCGTTTCACAATTTATTAATAACATTATGTAATTGTGGGCCCGTATTAGGACGAAACAAGTATCCAGTGTCCCAAGGTCTCCAAACTGAAATCAATAAATCCCCATAAACTTCAAAAAAGGATAGTTTAGTGAAAATATATGTAGGATGTGCATGAAAGTAGGGTGCAAGAAGCCAAGACAGATACTTTTAGGAATAATAACTACGGGAACAAAACAGATTAAGGGAATGTGATCAGATTGTTTCATACCATAAGAATGACAGGACATCTGCAATATGGAAGTTGAAAATTAGGTTACATGAGGTACGATGTTTAGAAACTTTTGAGGCTATGGCGGCAACACCTACGTTGCCTAGTCCTGATTGCCACTAGCTCTACAGTCTGAACAATTTGGAGCCGGGTACCTTTTCGCAAGTTGATGGGAACCTGGTATGTAATGGGAAATCACTCTTAACTAACTTGAACTAATGCCAATAGGCAACTGCTTAGCCACACTGTAATTTGTTTGCAAGCACGAAAAATTAAATTCCTAGTCCAGCGGCTGAAGTAACTGACTCCACAGCATCAGTTGAACTAACAAACACAACACGAAGTGTCCAGTCTAGTCGATTTCTCTTTTAGTCATATGGATGATATAAATTGGTTGGTTGTGGTTAGCACAAGAATCCAGGACGCGCGTTTCGTCCTTTCTGGGACTCGTCAGCTGGATGTACCTGCACCCCAGTGATGTTGTGCCCACTGGGACACGAACCTGGCACCCATCGCTTCAAACGCCAAGGCGTTATCCACTATGCCACGGAGGGACGGTATCCACTCCTTGTACAACGGGTTCGAGTCCCAGTGGGAACAACATCACTGGGGTGTAGGTACATCCAGCTGACGAGTCCCAAATAGAACGAAACGCGCCTACTGGGTTCTTCTGCTAGCCACAACCAACCAAATTATCATAATTAACATTGAGGCAATATCGAGGCATCTGCATAGGAGCCGATATGCCAATAGAGGTCGAACAATTCGATCCAACAAAACAACGGAGTATAACAAGTATGTCAATAAATAGTAATGGATAATATAGTTTGTAGTTTACTAGCATTAGAAGTTCTTTGAATTGACCTACTTGTCTGGTGAACTAACATCTTGCTAGGCAAGTTACCCTTTCTGCTAGCCACTCGAATATATTTTCTTCCTATTTTGCAATAACTTGTTTCTATGCGAACTAATGAGGATAACCATTTGCGATCAATATGTTGCGTAAAGCCGTTGAGTTCCTCGTTTATTTTATCTGCCTAACAAATAGCCTTTATTCTGTAACTTGAAATGTTTATCAAATTTCATTTGTACCGTAGTGGGATAAAGTTAAGAAAATGTGTGTACTGTCCCTTCCACGTACTTTTCCTAAACTTTGAAAGGTTGAACGAAATGTTGTCTGTTTATTGCCTATGACAGACCACATTCATTAGTATAGTTCAAACATTCACCTTTGTTTACACAGTTTTTTTTTCAATAACGCATAACATGCCTTTGAATGATAATTAAAATATTTTTTTTGGAACATGTAGACACCACAGATTAATTTAGTGCATGAGTATGTGAAATTGCCTAAAAACCCACATTATTTCCCTCCAAAGGTCAGACACTAAAAGTTGAACAAAATCTGATAATTCATACAAATAGCCTAATCACTAAAGGGTAAATTAAATTGATACAAATATTAACTATGTCCAATAAAGTGTTAGGAAGCGGAATACTTAATGATGATTGGCTGATGTTGAGACTTGACTAAAATGAACGCTGATTGGTTACAAGCTAATCAAGGCCTTTTAGCATAACAATTTATCCCGAATAGTTTAAAAATAACCCTTTTCTCCCGTACATTAAATTACACATTTTTCATAGAATATACAACCATTTCAAAATGATAACTCGGAATATATACATACATGTATGTGAAATCATGTTTTCGGAAAAAATTAACTCTAAACTGTAACTAAAGGCATGAATTTTAGTAATGACTTCAATGTGATAAACTCATCTTGTTCTGCTGTCGACGGAGGTTATTCTGATGATACAGAGAGTATGGTAAATCATGCAAGAAGTTCACCAATGAATGCAAGTATAAGTAATACAAGTATGGATACTATAGCAACAGCAGCAACAACTACAACACCGATGATGAGAACCAGTACTGGAGATGATGATGATGATGATGATGATGATGATGATGAGATGATGATGATGATGATGATGATGATGAAAAAGACGATAATGAAAGTTTGAATGATACCAATTCACATACAACTGTAGATGATGACTTAATGAACAGCTACGCCGCTTCACTAGGCATTGATGATGACGATGATAATGATAATGATATTATTAGTCTGAAAGATAACCACAATCATCATTACACATCAAAATGTCAACGGATTTCAAATGATTTCGGATCGAAAAAATTGGATAAACAGGTGACCTTTCAAGATGTCGTTGAAATTTCAACAATTTATTCAATAGTCAATGAATCACAGGAATCTATTTCACATAATTATGAAGATGATATTGATGATGAGGAAGAAGGAGAGGGATTGATGAGTAAAAATGAGCACAATGTAAAAAAGATGTATGAACAAATAACTTGTAAGGAGAACAAAGTCAGAGGCAGAGAAAAAAATCCAGATAGTGGCCAAATGGTTTCAGACAAAGACTTGCTAACTGTAAGTAATGTTGATATGTTAATTGAGTTCAAATGATAAGTAAAAGTTTTATTTTCTATTGAAGATGTAAATAGGAAGCTTATGAAATCGTATGGAGACAATCTAAGTGGTTTGCATAACCAACTGATTTTAGCTGTGTAACCATTAGAAATCTTAGCATGCCTTCCTTTGTTTCGTCCTTTACTTAGCACTTCTCAGCAGCATGAAAAAACGGTAATATTCCTAAGTTCACCACCTCCTAAATGCTTTTTGATTTCTAATAGTTACCGAACTGATATGAACTAACGTCTGATGTTATAGCTTGTGAATTATCGTTGTCGATTGGGTCAAACTGATCACCCACTGTATTAAGAGTGGCTGTCGTGACTCAGTGGTCAAGTGAACGACACTCTAGCATTTTAAGTAGTCGGTCTTTGGTTCGACTCCTGGTGGGAGCAATACCATTTTCCTGAAGGCAGGTGCATCCATCTGACAACTCCTACTTAGGAAGAAACGCATGTCCTGAATTCCATTGTTAGCCACTATCCATAGTTGGACTGTGTTTGTTGAAAACTGAGTTCACGTTCGACTTATTTAACAAGTTTCTTGACGTTCACTATTGCATTTCCTCAGTTTCTCCTGAAATAACTAAAACGGTGATAATGGTGTGTGATCTGTTTCGGTCATACTAACTAAATTTCCTTCGAGGTTTGTAGAAAACAGTCTCTTCTCTGTACTAGTACTCATGGTTGTGTATCACCGATAAAAGCGAAAATCGGGGCCACAATAATAGAATCCTTTGCATTCAGCTCTCATGAAATGTTACAACCTCTTATTGAAAAGTCTTTCTTTTTGCACATGTCATTCATTTTCGTCTTCTAGCTGCGTTCTTCTTCGACGTTTTCCACTTTTTTTCCTTTCTGTTTCTATCTGACCTACACTGTTTCCCTATCGAGAACATTCCCTGGTCAATCGTCTGATCGTGTGACTTATGTCGTAAATTGTACACTACTTAAACGAGTTCTTATCAGTAGCATACACCACCGAAAGTTTATGTAATACTCTCAGTTATCAGAAATTTCAAGTTGGTATTTACCACGAACAGACATCAGTTGGAGACCCGGTGAAAACCTTGGAGTAATAGGGGGGTGTTTCGGCCTGGCACAGGACTTGTCAGACGTGCGCACCCACAACGCGGCCACGGATAGAACGCAGGATCTTTAAGTTTCTGATATCAGTTCATGATGAATACCAACCTGAAGTCAATAAATTAATCCTCGCAAACCTCGGAACTGAACTCATCTTTAGTACTCACTAGTGACTCGCTTCAACAGGTGATTCCCGAAGTTCTAATGAGAGGTAGTAACCGGCGGGGCCAACCAAGTTGAACGATAGGACAGTTACTCAACAACGACATTGGATGGAGATCGCGCTATATTGTAAACTGATTGAAGTTGTATACATGGATCATTGAGTTTCGACACAGTGGCTCAACGGCAAGATGCTGGTCACAAAACTTGAAGCCGCTGGGTTCGATCTCTGTCAGGATGGAGTCATGAGTGTGCACTGTTGCCAAGCCTCATACTAGGACGAAACAGCAGTCCAGTACCTCCAGATCTACTACTGTCATCAGTCCATGATGAATGCCAAATTGAAATCGACAAATTTACAAAACCTCCGAATTGTATGAGGAATTTCCTGATATTATTGCTTATCACTGTCAAATAAGAGAAGTTGTGGTGGTAGATGTTTGTTGTTTGGACTGTGAAATTTCTAGTTACAATATTATTCCTCTTGAAACTCAAATTGACACAGACATGCAGGTAGATATCGGTTACTGTTAGCTCAGTGTCTGGAGGGGTGGGGGGGGGGCGGAGAGAATGAGGTTAATTACACCGACAAATTCTGTAGTATACGCTTCAGATGACAGAACCACCAAGCCAAGGATTTGCCTGATCTGAATGCTTCTGTTGTTTTGTTTAAATTGATTGATAATCAACTTCTAGTGGATTTAATTTACCGCTGTGTGAGTTTTTATGAAGGCTCAAATCTTCCACCTCTAAAACAGAACCAAGAGACTAATTTTTCTGACTGCATCTGTTGTCTTGGAATAAGCTATAGTGTAAGACAAGAATCGAAAATCTGATTTTGTCGAGAGCTCATATTCAGGAAATAAAATGGTAGACTGGATGTCCTGAGGAGTTATATTGTGAAAGAGGTGTGTGTGTGTGTGGAAAGTAGCGTACCGGCAAACCGAAAGCTTTCCCCATTTCAGTCTTTTTAAAAAATGAGGAGAAACCCTTTTACTATCAAGATTCACCCTCGGCGGTCTCTCGGTTCATCGAAAACGGAAATAACGGGCAAATGATAGGTTTAATATCAAGTATGTAAAAAAGGTAACGGTTTATATATGTTTTCAATAGCCATGAAGCGTTCTACACTGTCCTAGAAAGCCTTTCAGCCAATCTGAAACTCACACACATGATCACGTGGTTTTTCACGTGTGTCTGGTAGACCATGATTGGTCATGAAAGCTTCTCAGGAAATCACAAGATTTCTTGAGGAGTCTAGATGATGTCATTTCATTCCATAACACTAATTATAATCACTATGTAACCGATTTTTCAGAAAAGTTAGATAAGCGAACTAATAGATGAAGAATTTGAGTCAGTCTCTTTGTTTGTTAACTTATACCAAATTGGTACAGTGATATAGAACTCGAAGTTAGATGGAAACAGGTATTTATCATCCACCCTCCACCTAGTTTTTTCCACCATCTTTTTCCTACCAATGAAAGCTGCTTTAGAACCAATCACATTCCTCATAAACTTTAAAATTCATTTACTGATCAAACATGCGATTGTTGAAAGATGACAAATTGCAGATCATTGGATTATTAAAATCTATCATAAAAAATACAACAAAACTGAGAATAATAAAAGACACAGAGAGGTAGATGTGTTGTTAGCAATTTACTAAGTAGCAACAAAGGTTAAACAACTTTCTTTTGTACTCATAATTTCGGTTTCTCTATGTATATGGCAAGAGTTTCTGCAGTTCAGGAAAGGCGGAAACGTGCCATTTTTGACAAATTTCTTTTCACCTTGCAGATGATTTTGGACACTGATTCAGTTGTGATTCTGTGACCAGCGTTGACAAGGTGTTTGATTATTACACTTTTGATGGATCCACTGGCACCTCTAGGCAGCCAGGAGGAATAATATCCTCTAACTTATTTGGAAAGAATGAACACCAAACAACCTACATATCTCACTTCATAGGATCATGTGAATTGATAAACACATACGGAAGTGATCAGATGTGGAAGCTTATGTCTCTGGTTGTCAAGATGCATTAGATAAGTCGAGAATTAACTCCCCACGGTTGATACAAAGAGAGCTTCCTTCAGCGAATTTGAAATTTTTTTTCCAAGATATCAGCATGAAGTCGTTTTTGAAGTCATGATTTATGCATAATATTTCTTTTGGAATTGAAATGGGCATCTCTTTCTTTGGTTTGGGTCTTATGTTTTTGCCCACAAATCGTGCTAGATATCAGTTTTCAGTTAAAACCTTTTTGAGAAATGTGACTTCTTCTTCTAAGCTATCAGTTTTGGGATTCTACGAATACGATAGGTAAATAACACAATAAATGTTCCTATTTTGACTTTTCAGCTGTCCCAGAAAGGCTTCATATTCACCTTAAATGTGATTGGTTGATTCAAGGTCACTTAGGAATTTCTCATAATCGAAAATTCTTGAATTCCATAATGCTTCTTTGTATTCACTATAAACATCCAGAATGCATTAGTAAAACCGGTGTTGTTGTCGTTCGAAGGTGCTGTTTTATTCTGTCTACTGACGTACGTCCAGTCATTTGAACATTTGTTACCGTGGCAACCTATTCTATAACTGACCGCCTATGTCCATGAATTGTTCACTGGGGTGTGGCTGATGCGACTTCCCTGTCCTTCTAAGTGCTCATCACCAACTTGGATCATTACTAGATACCTAAGGATCAGACAGCCAGATAGACGAGTCACTAGTGGATAACTGCCATGTATTTATGTCTCTGTAACTTAAAAGGATTTTGTTTGCATCACATAGAGGACGAGTAGGATCATATGTGGCTGGACCAGCTTTTCACTCCCCAAATAATAACTACAATCATAATGATAACCCTTTCTATCAGTAACCTATGCATCTAATGCCAAAATATCAGCATTATTTGTCCATATATTATTACAGAAAACTTTTTTTCCTTGTAAAAACATTCTTTTATTTGCTATTTATTCAACTTGATGACTGATGCTGATGATCCTTACCTAGTAGTAGTAGTAGTAGTAGTAATAGTACTACTACTGCTACAAGTTTTCCAGACACATTTGTCAAATGATTCTGTCTGCCAATTAGCTTTGCCCCTATCTCTCCCCCCCTACCTTACCCCCCCCTCTCTCTCTCTCTTTCCCGCTTACTTGTTGGCTCAAACACGCGTACGCACACAGATACACGCAATTCCCATCTTATGACTAATATTTCATTGAAGCTGCTGTCATCGCTGATTTTCTTTCTTTACTGTCTTTACTTTTAAGGCTACCATGTTATGCCATTATGCAGTTTTCAGTAGAATAGTTGAACAACTGAACATTGTTCATCGATGTTTGTGTATTTCAACTTAGCCAAAGAAAGAAAACATTTTTTATAGAAATAACTTTTGGCATAGTGTGTAAACGAATGTTTTTTTAGATGATTGTTTCACTTGTTCATTTATATTGTATATAATATTGAAACCATTGATCTTAAGAGCGCCAATTATAAACTGATCGATACATATGAAGGTTTCAGTGCTATGAGTGATTAGTAATAATTCTCTTTAGCGAATAACGTATATTTGTCTCTTTAGCTTTAGAATGAATACTTTCAACTAATAAGTATAAAGCACAGCCATAAATTTATCTGACCTTCACGGACCAATCACGATACGATTTGCGAATGTCTAGTTCGTTGATATCGAAATTGCTTTGAGTAGGGGCAACTTTAAAGGCCACCCTAGAAACG